TGATATTCTCAAAGTATTGATAATAATTTAAAGAAATGATAATATCCTAAAAAATAATCAATTTTAGAATAATGAAAGCGATGCTTATCTCGTATCTTTTCCCCTTTTAAAAAATGTTTTTTGAAATTCAAAAAAAAAAGACATTTTTTTCATTTGAAATAAAACAATTGATGTTACTTTTATCATTTTAAAATTTAAATGATGACAGTTTTTTTTTTTTTTGCATTTTCGTTATTCGAAATGGAATAAAAAATTTAGAATAGTATTTAAGGAATACTATTTTAGGTAAATTTTAAAATTATGAATGAAATCATCAGTATTTTATGCTTTTAAACATCTTAAAAAAGCTTATTTCATTCATTTTCAAAACAATAAATTGATCGTTTTTGAGGGATATTTCTAGTTTTCCTCTAGAATTTCTTAATTTCTCATTCAAATTATGGGATTTAAATTTATTGCAATTATTCATAAAAATTTGAAAGTAATTTTAATTTGGCAAAAATAATAATTGATTAACAGTGATAGAACAAATGATTGGCTAAGGGATGTTTATGTACGTACACAAATGCTACTACGGTAATTTAACTATCGATTAAATATATATATATATATATATATATATTCCAATTACTGGGAATTAAAAATTTGAAAGTGAAAGTAGAAACTTTTGAGTAAATTTGAAAGTGAAAGTAGAAACTTTTGAGTAAATTTGAAAGTGAAAGTAGAAACTTTTGAGTAAATTTTAAAATAAAAATAGAAATTTTTGAGTAAATTTGAAAGTAAAAGTAAAAAATTGTAAATAGCAGGAAAACAAATACTTACAATTATAAAACATAAGCAAATAGTTTGATTGGTTTAAAGAAAATGACAATTTCAATTTTCAAAATTATCCATATAATTTTTATAAATTCAACAAACGAATAATTTAAATTTCATTTCAAAAGTTATTCCTTTATTTTAACTGTAATTTGTGATAATTTTGATAATATTATTGAATGATTTTATATGAAAATTTTAAAAATGTTCACATTTATCTGCCATTAACCAATCAAAAACATAACAAATATCACATTTAAATAAACATTTCAAATTTTATATGATATCTTCAAAATTTCAACTTATGGCTAATAAATTAATTCGTTTCTAATCGATTGGGTCTATTGACCAAAATAGATATTTGGCATTGACTATTGAAATTAAAATAGATAATCAATGAAAATGAAAAAATATATATATTCCATACAATAATAGCAATATAATGAATGAAAAAAATAGACAAAAAGCTATTCTTATCGATATTTGATAAAGTTTTTGATTAAAATTTATTTTCAGATTAACATTATTTATTATTTTTTTGAGCCTTATAATCTTTGTTATAAATAAGGAAGACGAAGTGGTCATTGATCGAGAAAAAGTTATAAATAAGAAAGTTAAAGTGGTCATTGGTCAAGAAAAAGTTAGGGAATATTAAAAATTTTAAGCTATTAATTTATTGTTTGCTAAAAAAAAAAAAAAAAAAAAGTAGACACAAATTATACGATGAAAAATGCATAATAACAGGGAAAGAAAAGAAAGATTTGATGTAATAGTATAAATAAAATAGATATTATTTGTTGTAAAGAAAGAAAAAAAGATAGATGAAAAGAACAATTTTATTTTATCTGACAATTTCTTAAATGAAATTAAATGAATTTTATTTTTTTAGATTGAGAAATTTGAATGATGAATAACTTTCCCTATTTTCTTTTCTTTTAAATAACAAACAATTCTTTTATTTTGCCATTTGTAAACATTCTTTGACCTATAACCTATAACCCGTAACCAATAATCTGTGACCTATAACCAATAATCTGTAACAAGTAATTTGTAACTACTAACCAGTAATCTATAATTAGTAATCAATAACTCTATAATCACCCCTAATCTGCAATCAATAATCTTATAATCTGTAACCAGTAACTTGTAACCTGTAATCAATAATCCTATAACCTGTAACCTTAATCAGTAACCCTATAATCTGTAAACAGTAACCTGTAATCAGTAATCTATCACCAATAATTTGTAAGTAATAACCAATAACCTGGAACCAGTAATGTGTAATCAATAACCAGTAACCTGGTAACCTGTAACCAGTAACTTGTAACCATTAACAAATAACCTGTAAGCTACAATCAATAATCTTATAATCTGTAAACAGTAATTAATAACTCTATAATTTGTAAACAGTAATTTATAACTAATAATTTGTAGCTAATAATCAGTAACCTGTAACCACTAATCTGTAACCTGTAACCTGTAACCTGCAATCTGTTAATCTGTAACCCGTAACCATAATCCTGTAATTTGTAAACAGTAACTTGTAATCGATAAACCTGTAATCTTTAATTAGTAATTAGCAATCTTTTACTTATAACATTTAATCTCTCATAATATTTTGGAGAAAAAAAAAACAAAAACTTCTATTTTACTTTTAATCCATTGAAAAGATGGTTGATTGAGAATTTAAACAATGTTTTAACAAATAAATGTAAACAAGAATAAAAAATTTGGATGATAAAAAAAATGATAGGAAGATAGAGAGAGAG